TGCGCTCCTTACCAGTCTTTGAAGGCTTCTGCGCTTCCACACAGGCGCATAGCACATACAGCACGTGCACGATTCTCCGCGAGCAGCTGGAGCATCGCGCAGGCGCTAAGACGCATGCGTGAACTGCGCGCGTGCACGAGGACGCCGCCGGCCCCGTCCCAACCGAACCAGTTGGAACGAGATTAGCAACCCACCCCTGGTTCTTATCCAAGTGATTTTTAGAGGCATACAAAGTGTACATTTTCATTGCTATGGAAAACATGCAACGCCCAAGCTTTCCAACTGAGATAACATTACTGTAAATTACATTCTTTTCAAATGCCACTTTATCTGTATGGTGCTGTGTGCAGAATACTTTCTAATTTCTATTTGCACTGAAAATTAAAAACACACACACAAACACACAAATGAGCAGAGGAACAATTATGTTTTCTTGCTAATTAATGTTTCAAAAATGAATTATGTAAATGAGCCACAAAGGGCTCATTCTAAGTTGGTTCCTGAATTCTATAGGGCAGTGTTTCTCAGCCTTGGCAGTTTTGACAATGGGCGGACTTCTGGGGAATTCTTGGAGTTGAAGTCCACCCATCGTCAAACTGCCAAGGTTCAGGAGCCCTGCTGCACAAGGATATTTTGAATGATTTCTGGATTTCTGCTATATAAATAGTGATGGCTTTTTAAAAATCATCCAATCCTTGAGTTAGCAGACAGATGCAAACTAATTTTAAAAAATTAAAACAATTTGCTTTCAATTGTCTACTCCAGTCTAAGGGTATGCATTGCTTAATGTTAGAGGCAGTACCATTCTACATATTAGGCCTCAGTCTGCAATCAATCTTATTACAATATACTTATCTGAAGTAAGCCTGGTTAAATTCAGTGGAACTTAACTTATGAGTAGTTATACCCAGAACTGCTTTGTAAGCCCATGTTTTAATTCACAAATAGCAAGGCTGACTTGATTTGACTGGAGATTTGGGTGGCAATGGTCTTTGCAATTTTAAAAGCCGAATGCTTTAGGAAACGATTGGCCCATTACTTCAATGACTGGTATATGCTAATATTCAAAGCTACCAATAAAGACATTAGGCATTTCTAATGCAAAAGCCAGAAAGGGAAGTCAAATTGTCCCTGAAGCAGTTGTTCCCCCCTCCCACCCTCACATATCAAAGCAGCAAAAGAGAAAGATGGAAGCTGCAAAAGTGGATAAGCTATAAGGATGAACTATTTCCTTTCTTTCTACTTTTTGTAACCACTGTTGGTGCACTCATTTTACCTTTTGAGAATGATGGCATAAAGACCATGGATGTTGTAAACAGTTTTTTCCCCCTACTTTGTGTTAAGAACTGAGACTTGTTTAATTTGTGGTGAGCTTTAAAATGTTATATAAATCCAAACTGGGGCTTACTAACTTAACTGCAGTAATGGGGTCTTATTCCTATATACAGGTGTAACCTAACTCAAGTCCATCAATTTCTTTGTGTCATTAAAAAGGTAAAGCATCCCTTGAGTCAAACTTGATTCTTCATGACTTTATGGACACATCTATGTATGTTTCTTGCCAGCATTATAGAAATCACTTGCCACTGGCTTCTTCTGAGATAGTTTTTAACTTTCCAGTTTAGCCTACATCCCTGGTATTCTCAGGAGGGTTCCCATCCATGTACTGATCAGGCAACAGAATTTGCCAGGTTTTGCGATGAGTCCAGAGTTAAAATCTTAGTGTCTGTCTGTCTGTCTGTCTGTCTCTCTCTCTCTCTCTCTCTCCTCTCTCTCTCTCTCTCCCCTCCTCTCCCTTTTCACCAGTCTTCAATATACTATATTTTCTGTTCCATCAGGATGTTTATTTATTTATTAGACTTATATACCGCTTCATAGGGCTTTCAGCCCTCTCTAAGAGGTTTACATTTTTTTTTTTAGCAAATGGAGTCAGCAACTTGCCCCCACAGTCCGGGTCCTCATTTCACCCACCTCGGAAGGATGGAAGGCTGAGTCAACCTTGAGCCGGTGAGATTTGAACCGCTGAACTGCAGATCACAGTC